AAGTAGCTATTTGTATGTCGTGTCCAGTCTAGATCTTACAATTGAACACGTCACAATACTAAGTCTGATAGTATAAATAAATGAAGATTTTGGAATAAGTAATGGATCACAAACCCATGAAATAAATTGGCTACGCATTGTGATCTCGAGTCATTGTCATCATTTTATTTTGTGACAGTGCTGTATTATGTTCTTCCTCTGCATCAGAGGGTATGCGATAATTTTCACGCGTAGTAAACAGGTCACAGTTTAACGTAAGCTAATTTTAGCACAAACACCATACAAAATGTATCAACTCTACAACTCTGGCTAAATCTATCGATAGATAAATCCAAGCTGGCCGTAAAGATTTATCAGAGAGCATGGTTGTTCGGTCTCTGTGAAAGTGTAAAGTGTCCCTAATTCGGCTCTTATGATTATGAAACTAGCGGGAAGAGTAGAGCTGGGAACTGTAGTTTGTTATTAATATTTATTTCGCGTCCAAACCACGCGATCTCCTTAAGGCACACACGTGTAATGACTTTGATATTTATTATAATGAGGTTATTAAAATTACTGGTCAAAAATATTTCCCACTTCTATCTTTATTAGAAGCTATTTCTGAATATGTCTTTGTTCCTTCATGTGACAATCGACAATCTGCGCTACTCGTCAAGCGTCATACCCATTAATAAAAGTGCACAATATAGAATAATTAATGTCTTCTCGTTTCCATAATTAATAGACTTCATGACTCAAACGTCCTTGACTACTGATGTGCATTTATTAACGTTTATCTTCTTCATATGAAAGATAAGATCACGCCTTCTAGGTATTATCAGAAGAAGGCAGAGCAAATAATAAACAGTATGACACCCACTTTTCACTAATTACGTTTTGAATCACATCTAATAAGGGGTGGTCTTATTACCATAATACTAGGCACAAATGCCCAATAACCTTTTGGGTGACCTATTAATCAAATCTGATATCCCATGCTCGATAATCCTACTTCCATCCACTCAGCACACGAGATAATTATTCATAAGAAAAATTAAAGGGTCCGTCCTTATTTGATATCCTAAGTAGGAAATGACATTGAAAGGCGAGTGCCATGGTCTTTGGGCCATTACGACGTAGGTAGTACAAGTAGGTGTATAACACAACACTGCTACCCACCCTTTCTCAAACTAAGTTATATTCTACCTAAATCAATACCTAACTTGTGATTCATATCGTCCTTTCGCCCACAAATCTGCTCTCGGCGTTGATACGATCTATTTTTAGCTTCAAAATGAATCTAGACGCCCACACGACACCGAGACCTTTACAAAAAAACCTGCTAAAGTTTTCAAGCTGAAATTGCGTTTGCGTTGCAAAAATTTGTGGAATATGATTTCATTGGCTATTTGTGAGAAGTTAAGATGTATGTATGTGATGGAAGCTAAAGAAGTATGTAAGGGGCGTAGTAGGTGGTGCTCTGTAGTTTCTGTATACCATCAGATGTATGAATGTGATGGAAGTTAAAGAAGTATGTAAGGAGCGTAGTAGGTGGCGCTCTGAAGTTTCTGTATACCATCAGATGTATGAATGTGATGGACGCTAAAGAAGTATGTAAGGAGCGTAGTAGGTGGCGCTTTGTAGTTTTTGTCTACCTTGGGACATAGAAATAATTCGTCAGATGAATTTGTCCCAAACCAACAGTAGGAACTCGAACTATTCTTAAAGACCACTTTATCTTAAAATAATGAAACGTCTTATCGAAAATTAAAACCGCGCAGTTGAACATTTTAACTGTATTTACGGATTTTTTTGTAAAAATAGGTGATATTTATAAAAATAAAGGTCGAATTCTTTTGTATGATAATAAAGATGCCCCGATTAATTTGGTGCTTTGGATTATTTATTTGGGTTTCAAAAAAGTACCTCATAAATGATTAACCGTCAGATATGTCATACATGAATTATTAAAAAAAAAACATGAATAAATACTTGAGTGTACTTATTTGTGTAAAAGATTAATACAAGGTTTTTCGCGATATCTTGTCCTCGAATGGATGGAAATATTCCAAATTGCGTTTCAAGAATGTTAAACAAGTATTGAGGAGACCTACTTTTGAATAAAAAACAAAAGGTAATACGCCAACTTTTCCCCGTAGACGAGCAGAGATGTACATTTATTAAATGGTAACACCTATTTTCACCCGTATGTTATAAGTTCCATGTAATAATAGTCAAATCTATTGCCCTACAAGGCTGAATTATAGATTTTTGTTACTCTGTTCTTAATAGTTCTTATAATTTCTAATATTGGAGAAAACGATGACATTTTGCTCGACCCGGGAGTTGAATTGAGTTGAATGAGACATCCGCATTTGTGACCACTCAACCATCGTGGAAGCTGTATCAGTTGCATAACATAACATCACGCCTTGTATCCCCGAAGAGGTAGGCAATGATGCACATTACGGCACTTAATGCCACTGTACAATGTAACACCCACTTTTCACTATTTATGTTATGAGTCCAATGTAATAGGGGGTAAGCCAATTGCCATATACCGGGCACAATTGCAGACTACGTGCTACAACCGAGATTTTTTTTAAAACCCAGTAATACGGTGCCCGACCCGGAAATCGAACCCGAGACCCCTTGCCCGGCAATTGCAATTGCGACCACTCGACCAACGAAGCAGTTGTATAAGTTTTGGAAAGTTATTTAATTTGGAATGATACCCAAAAATGGTAGCCTCCTAATATAAAACATTTAGAATGGCATTGTATTCACAGTTATGATATAAATACATGTAGAATATTATAATACTTGGGCTGAACAAAATTAGGATAAATATTATCCTCTAAACTCAATATATGTTAATCCAGGTCAAGCACTATTAGTTATACCGAAATTCCTTTCAAAAAATCATTAGTTTTTACTAAAATTAACACATTATATTGATAGGTACAAAAGTGTACAAAAACTTTCACTTTTGTATAAAAAAATAGATAGCGGTAACTACGTTGTAGTTTAGGTGATTAGAAAATTCCTTTTTGTTACTGTCTGACTGATAGATAACAGCTGAAACTTCTGCTTGCAGCCAGTTATGTGTCATGTTATATACGCTAGGGGAATAGGAAATATTGAGAGGATATTTAATAATTTCTACGGAAACTTTTTTTTTTATACGCGTTAAATGTCGCAGGCGTAAATTACAAACGAGGTTCTTTGTCGTTTATTGTGCTTTGTTCTATCCTCGTACGTTCTCCTTTATATCACAACATACCCAAGTAATAACAAACATAGCAACACGATATAGTTTCCGTCAATTCCACGCGAATATTGAACCAGAGTCTAGGTATTATTGGCCGTAAAATGTAAATATTTTGATAGTAACGCAACACACACTTAAACATAACAATAGACTACATTAATTTCGTAGTATTATTAAATTTATCCAACGCACATAACAGCCAAGTTAACGATTTATATGTAATGAGTCAATCAAAACAAATATACGTCATTTTGAGTGTAAAATAAGAGTAATTTTGTACACAGAGCTGTCTTTATGGTGACGTTTTTACCTATAGACACGTATAGGGGATAAAACGTCGGTCAAAGTCGGTATAGATCGGGAGAATTCGCAATGTTCTATCTCGCTCGCACTCGTGTAAACGCCAATCACGTCATGCTATCGAATTTCCGTGCTCTTCACATCGCATACGGGCTCTAAGTACAATCAGTACATATTTTTAGACTGTGCAGTGCAGACGTTTACGTAGAAAAATATTGTCGGTGTTTTTTTGTAAACGAAATTCAAGAATAAAACGTATAATTGTTGTATTGAAGGTGTTATCCGTTTTAAAATGGCTAAGGTAAACTGTTTTTTATTTTTTGTTACACTGCTTCCGACGTAATCGTTTTGCGAATATATAAATTCACATTTTTTGCAACGAAATGTCGTACCACCAGTGACGTATCGTCTAGGAAGATAACTTCAGCGTTATTTCATAACAAAATCAGTTTTTTCTAAGTTAACTCTTATCTATTTTATTAAGTCATACTAATTAAGAGTCTATTTTAATTAGGACCGGTGGTTTTAAATGAAAACAATTTAATGTTGGTATTTGTAAACATTTGGCTGTAAAAATTTAGTAATATTATTAAAAAAATCGTTACGCTTCGTGGATTAACCGTGAATTCCGGCTCATTATACGTGAAAAGAAAACAGTTAAAAGTAGGCAATATGTGTCTGTTTTAATAAATGATTGTGTTCCGTATACGGCTGTTTATATTTATTTAGATTTCAACACAAACCATTGATTCCCAAAAATGTGCACTTTTTTATTTTACAGGTAACATTATGTCACTGTCAAAATCGATATCTATCGAAAAAAAATCTTAATGACATTGCCAGTTCATAAACATTTTCAGTTCCCACATTTAAAGGACGTTTACAATAATTTTCATCGTCATATTTTAAAATAAAAATATAAATAAAGCTTATTGTATTTGTAAGTACAGCTCATTTTTTGTTTAAATAATGATTATTATATTAAAAATTCTCGTCTTTACAGTAGCTGTGTTTATACATTTTAATGTTTAAGTAATTCAACTAACTATTAAGATAAGAATTATAACGAACGATTGTTTTATACATAAATGTCTCGAGTTCATACCATATCAGTTAGGTATAGCAATAAAATATTATTACCACTTCACGGTAAGTATCCATGAAATATTTATGTATAAATAGGTAAAATGGTAGTTATTATAGTTGTATTTTTTTTCAATTTTAGTCATGGACTCATGTTAGCCTTGATATGCTAAAGAATTTCTACACGCTTATATAATCAAACGCAATAGGTTTTGAAAAACATAAACACATTAGTCACATCAATTCTAGTAAAACGTAGTTTGTTTTTTATTACCTTTTTTAAAGTGCAGGTCTGTTATTTCTAAAACCGGTTAGGGTGTAGCTAATTCTAGCTTGGCAACCCAAGCTGTCATATGGTCTCTACATAGTTTTGACAGACCGGTCGAGTCAATTGAGCTATTTTTCCGCGAAAGAAATCGATTTTTTATCAAACATTAATGTATTATACAATAAGGAATGTCCTAATGCAAGCTAGGAACACGTATAAGAAGCTTACAGATATGAATAAGAGTAATTGTACGGTAAGTATTCATTAATTATTCCGTATAATGACGCGTTCGCAGATATTTTCTTGAATGGGGCGTTGATAACTAGAGTAAAGTCGGAAAATAACCTTTAATTAGCATTTCTTTGCCTTGTTATTGCCTTGAATGTGCTGGAAAATGATTAGAGCGCTATAAAAGTGTGATATTTATGGCAGTAATGGAGGTTTTAGGTTATATTGCGGCGTTGCTAATGTAGACACTTTATAATTGGGGTTTTTCGTATTTCATTGCGGTTTTATCCGCTAATCGGTGTTATAAAGTGCTAAGAATTAGGTATAGGTATAATTTAAAGACACTTGACGACAGTGCATATCATAATTTTGGTAAAAAATTCCAATTAACTGCGGAGCAGTCAGGTAACTACATTGAAAGTAAATAAAACATTCTTATTTTATTACAAAATTAATCCAACATTATAGTATACTGTTCTGGGAGGAGAAGCATTTAGCCCTTTAAGGTAACCCCCTAAGGTAAGCCTCTTAACTTGAATAATAGTAATAATAGTAACTGCAAAAGGCGAAGATTATGGCATACCTTCTGATGTAGAGGAACCCCATAGTCTATAAGGGAACTGTCACAGACTGATCAACTGAACTGATCTGATATATTTAGCATCTGTTTCACAATGTATCTGTGTGACTGATGGATAATTTAGCATATTTGGCTTAGAAAATGTGTCAAAATATGCATCACTAGGTATTGCCCGTGACTTTGTTTGCGTAGAATATGATTCTTGTTTTCCCATAGGAGCATTTAATCGGGATAAAAAGTCACCTAAGTTAGCCAATACTCTGCCTGTATACCAAATTTCATCAAAATCCGGTCAGAAGTTTCAGTTTTATTGATGAAGAAACATCCAAACAAAGAATTTTCATATAATTATAATATTAAAATTCTTTGTTTAATATAAGTTACCGAACCAATATCCGTAAAACGTTTTTATATGGATGAAAAATCCAATTACTTCTCCCCGGTGAGCTGAGAGAGTGTCAGACGCTTAATGACTGAACACCACCTCGTTCCTACACCATAGAGCTGGAGCCACAGTAGTTTATTGTACTGTATCCGCTAGCCAATCAAACACATATGGCACACCAGGACACCAACAAATTTACCTATAGAGCTCTATAGAGACACCTGGTATCTGCTTGGTTGCGCAACCAGTGCCTTTAGCCAAACGCCACTTCTTTAGCGCTTGTCTACCGAGAGAGTAGAAATCAAAATGTATGGGGACGACACCGACAAGTGTCAAAATTTATGTCAATTCCATATAATTTGGTTTTCTATTCTACATGTAAACAAGCGCTAAGTGGCATTTGCCTACAGCTGCAGATTATATATGTTGTTGGCAGCAGTGACTGGTTGCACCGTCATGGTGTCCCGGTGAAATATGGCTCTTACTTTAACATGACCATTGGGAAACGCATTCACTATTTACTTTACCAGCTGTATAAGGATAAGAACTATGTCGTAATCATCTTTCATTCATTCACAAGATTTCCTTCCTTATTTATTCTTCCTATGTGATTGGTATAGCAAAATTAAGTCTTTTTACCCACAACATAAAGGACTTTTTGCAATATTCACCAAGATATATTAGCTATTAGTATTTGTTACAATTATTTTCCTTATATTATTAAACTAGTTGGTGTCATCAATATTATTTATTGTTGTAGATACTGAGATTTTTCTTTATATTGCTACAAACTAATGTCATCTCCCGTGTCCTGGGTATGGTTAATAAATATCATCATTACCAGTCTGTGGCAGTCCACTGCTGCACTATGAGTCTCCTCTACATAAGAGGGGTTTGTCATAATCTCCGCAGGCAGGCGGGTTGGAGATCGCAGTATAAAAGGTTCAGGTTTATCAGAGAGTGCTGCTGCACGGTCTCTGTCAAATATGTAGTCCCTTAGTCGGGTATTAGATACCTGCGGGAATAGTAGGTGTGGTGACAAATACATTCTACTGTGCCGTCATCACATGTAGGCTTTCTAGGAATATCATTGTCTGTTTGTTTATGTAAAGATAACCTATCATATACTACACAAATGATATGATCTGACACATTTTTTTCATTTAATTCCAATCCAATGGAAGTTTTTATCTGATAATAATAAATAAATATTATTATATTGTGTTAGTCATGGAAAAATTCCTTGTAATTGTAATGTTATTTCGAAATTTTGTTTCTTGGATGTTATTTATGTTAGAGATCAGATTATTTATTATATAATGCAAATGGTAAAAATGTGAAATGAATTCATGTACAAGTGGGAATTTTTCGGATGTTTAGCAAGTTAAAATCTTACATATGCAAATTATTTGCAATGGTTGATTAAAGTATTGCAAATAATTATTGTAATACATACTGAGAATATGCCGCAAAAAGCTTTACATACAGAGGAGTGGAAGGAGGGTAAGGAGGCCTTTAACATGCCGTGGGACGATCATGTCTAAAATTGTGTATGTGATACACAATTTATTTCTTTTTATTTCATTTTATATGTTTGTAAACGCACACACAATATAGGAGAAAGTCCTAGTGTGGGTAACATAGAACCGTATATTGTGTAAATACGTCAAAGTCAAAGTCAAAATCATTTATTTCAATTAGACCAGGGTGGCACTTTTGAATGTCAAACAATAAAAATTTATAAGTGAAGCTAGTTGCTCATTCCAAGGCGTAGATTCCTATGGAGAAGAACGAGCAAGAAACTCCATAGGTTACTCTTTTTCAATCAGGTTTACAATACAATTGTCTAGTTACATAGTGTTATTGATTCGATTGTGTGAGAACAATGCAACACCTAAATCCAGTCAGAAAGACTGAAAAAGAAAATAACTTTGAGGATAATAAAATAAAATGATACAGAATTGTGAAATGTGAAACGTGGAATGGTTATATCCCAAAAACCTGATTACAAGTTCAAACACATCTCTGGTTTAATCTAACCAAGGCTTTATATTTGGAGATCTTTAACTATGTAAAATTTTGTCCTTTAGTAAGTACTCTGACTGTCAACTGATATGGTATTAAAAGTGATTCAATCAAGGTAATCTTGGCAACACAAACACAGTGTTTCGGTTTGAAGAGCAATGTGTTATTACGACCTAGCTCTATGCAGGAGTAGAAACGTGATGGTGTTTAGTCTGTAAGAGTCTGACACTCCTTTTCGCCGCACCCACGGTATGAGAAGTCATTTTATGATTTTCCCACTTAAACAAAACCTAATCTTTGTACTCTATGACAAAGTTATCGACATACAACATCTAGATTCTAGAAAATGATACTATTACAAGTATAATGATAAAAAACTACTACTATACATTATAATCCTTTACTATTACGACTTAAAACCTCGCTGGGGGTGATCCATATCTCAAATTCAAGGCTAATTTGATTTATCAAACAAGCACTGTGTTTAATGCTTTTATCTACACACACATACATACATTATCATATTTTATATACTTACATTGATATGTTGTATACAAAGTTACGTGCCACATATCAATGTGGTACGTAACTTTTGCAATATTGACATAATTGAACAGTTTTCGCTGATCGTAGATGGCGCTGCTGTCGTTTTTAAGCACCTATCGGATATTTATGCGATTCTTATATTGATTTGTGAGGGGAAGTTTTAGGGTATTATTCATGAAGGTTTGATTACTGAAAAAGTGACAGTCAACTGATGGAGTATAGACCTCCTCTACATAAGAGGGTTTGCCATTGCAATTCGCTGTATAAAAGATCCATGTTTATTAGAGAGCACTGCTACCCGGTCTCTGTCAAATGTGTAGTCCCTTTTTTTATGGCATAAGCCGGTAGACGAGTAGACGGATTACCTGATGATAAGCAATCGGCGTTGATCATGGACACCTGGAACACCAGAGGCGTTACAATTGCGTTACCGGCCTTTTGGGGATTAGGAGTTTGAGGGTCGTTGGAGATTCAGGGATTGGGGAGATTGAAGAAGGGGAGGGTAATTAGGCCTCCGGTAACCTCACTCACACGACGAAACACAACGCAAGCGTTGCTTCACTATGGTTTTCTGTGAGGCCGTGGTATCACTCCGGTGGAGCCGGCTCATTCGTGCCGAAGCATGACTCTCCCACACTTAAAAAGTAGTCCCCTTAGTCTTGGGGTATATGACACCCACGGGAATAGTACGGGGTGGTGACTTACGCATTCTATACTGCCGTCACCACATTTCTTATAAGATTATTATGAAAAAGGTAACTTTCAAAGTAACTGACCCGTATTGACTTATGTAAAGTTATTTATTGATAAAATAATAATTATATGGTAATCGCTGTAATTAATTACTGGGTAACGCATAAGTTTAAACTGTCAAACACCAAGCGGTCACCGGTGACCGCAACCTATTGTTCTATAATTGTGTCTGCAAAACCGGTACTCGACGAGTTAAATACCACACAGAAACCGGGCAGCAGCGCTCTCTGCTAAATCTCAACCTTTTATACTGAGATCTCTAACCCGCCTGGTAAGCCATGAAATTGGGTGCTTGCCTTAATCAAAAATAAATTATTTCGACTGTTCAATACAATAAAATGTTAAGAAATAATCACACTTTTATTAATTGATTTTATGACCAACTTCATTTTAGTATTTTTCCAGTAAATTTTTAAGAATTAAGAGTAGAGAAGAAGTATTCTGTTTAACGCTAAAAAACGTGACGTCACAATACACAATCGCGTTTTTGACAGTTCGAAAAAAGTATTGAATTTGATTAGTTAGCACGTACTCAATTATGCCAAAACTGCTTTAGAGGCACTCATTTTAGACTCATTTAAAAATGCATTCGCTTTTTGAAAACCGGTATCTGGCAATTAACTAATGTCTGGCGATGAGCTTGCTACCTATTACTTAGAACTTATACCATAACTGGTGAAATGTGGGTGTTACCAAATCCCATTGCCTCTATCGGTCAATAGTCCTTTATTGACGT